AATGCCATTTACAATGAAAAGAAATGATGATGTAAGAATGTAATGGCAATAGTGGCTTCATAAGAGCCTCGCTTGAGGTAGGCGATGATGAAATGATCAGTTGTCATCGCTCTCCTCCTCGTCCATAGATTCCTCGGAGGAGAGGTCGTCACCATTGGGAATGGCTTCCTCCACCTTCTTCTGGGCCACCTTCTTCTCGGCTGGCTTCGACGGGTTGCCGGCGGCGAAGTTCTCGCGAGCCTCCTTAGCCTGGGCTTCGTAGTTTGCCTTGATAGCTGGATCGATTTGCTTCCAGCGCTGCCCAATCTCCTGCACGGTGAGTTTGACAGAGGGAGCTTTGGCGCGTTCGTCCATCGAAAAGAGCAGGTAAGCGTTCAGCGGGCGCTTGACGCCACCGGCGGCCGGCTTCTTCTTCATCACCTTCTTGCCTGCGTCCTTGGCAGTTTTGCCAGTGGTGGCCTTGCGCTCCTCAACGACCTTCTTCGGGCGAGCCATCTTGCTGGTGGGAGATGATGTGAGGAAAGAGCAGTTGTCTTTGAAAAAAGGCAAAGTCGAGCGAGTGAGAACTTGCGAGAAATTGAGATGTGACGACAGGCAAGGAGACAAATCGCAGACTGAGAGCAGTGAAAAGAACAGCGTGAAACGTTGTCGGTTTTATAACGCCGTAACAACAGCAGCGCAGCTATGCGGCGCTTTTTCCTTTCTTAGAACTTGACTGTGACAAGGCCACACTGTTTGCGAAACAATTCCCCCTTGTTCACAAAGGCTGTGATTTGGTAGATTTTTTTTCAGTTTTTAAGTTTCAAATGATTTATTTAGCAATTTGTAGTGTCTTGGTGGCTACAAATTCTTATCCACTAAACAATATGGCCTCAATCAGTACATGAACATCCTTTTAGCTAGGATCGGCAGTTTGGGTAAATGTCTAGGAGACGAGAAAGATCCGGCAAACCACCAAAACAGAAGCAGATAGAATGCTCTGTTCTTTCTTTCCATCTTTCTCGATTCCCACTTGAACCTTTGTCATCCCGTACATGCCCTAACGTACTCTTTACTGTGACTTGCCGACCAACCAATTGNACTTTCCATCTTTCTCCCACTTGAACCTTTGTCATCCCGTACATGCCCTAACGTACTCTTTACTGTGACTTGCCGACCAACCAATTGTTTGGTAGAAACAACTCACAAAAGGTGTGTGCTTTGGTAGAATTCAAATGATTTATTTAACAATTCATACTGACAAAACAATAGCTCATAATAGAAATAGATTTGACATAACTCAAAAGTGGTTACACAAACTTTAAAGAAGTTGCTCAGTCGGTGACCAGGTCGGAGAAGCCGAGCGCCATCACCGCTTTCTGGTGTCCGGTGTACTCTCGGGTCAGCTCGCCGGTGAAGGCCGACCACAGCCTGACAAACTGGTCGGAGGACGCTAGAAAGGCAATGCAAATGTTAACCAAAGTGTGTCACAAGTTGCGAACCCTCCCCTTCTTACCGGTAAAGATGTACTGCGAGTCGGCAGAGAAGGCCATATCCCAGACCCATCGCTGTTGTTCGGTTTTCAGCGTCAACTTGGGCGTCAGCGTGCTGGTAAAGTTCCACTCGTTCTTGCCGCCGCCGCCGGTCAGCTGACTTCCAGCGGCGATTGGGTTGCCCGACGGGTGACGACTTCGGCTGATGGGCCGGTAGTTGCCCTCCTGGTCAAAGTTGGAGTTTCCTTCAAAGTGACAAAGCACAACCATTAATTGTTAAGTAGTAGTCATTGCAACAACCCTGCTGTTTGCTTACCTCCCAAAAAGCAGTAACAAGTGCCGCACTCAGTGCAGCATCGCCGCTTTTTTGCTCGCTCCGCACTTTTACTGGCCCGCACAAAGTCACTCTTCATCGTCAGCCCTGAATCTTCATCATCATCGCCGTCCAGTCCACGCTTCTCCTCCTCGTCGCTATCCTCATCTGAACTGTCCACCAGCTGGGATTTCTTTAGCAGCCGGTAAAACTCTTCCTTCTCTTCCGCCAGNCACGCTTCTCCTCCTCGTCGCTATCCTCATCTGAACTGTCCACCAGCTGGGATTTCTTTAGCAGCCGATAAAACTCTTCCTTCTCTTCCGCCAGTAGCTGCTCTCGTCGGTGTCTCCTGATCAGCTTTCGCTCTTCCCGCTCCAGTTTGATACGGTTCCGAGTATCGCTGGGCATATCGGCTTCTTTCTCATCCTCTTCCGAGTCGGTGTTTATGTCCTGGAAAGGGGATAAAATGATGGATATTAGGTACTGCTCTTTATCACAGCCTACCCAGGTCACTTCTTACATGTCCACTGTGAATCTCGTAATACTTGTTGTCAAAGTACTTTGCGGCAATGACGGGGAATCGACGATAGGGCGCGTACTCGTTGTGTGAGGCCGTCGAAGCCGTGGGCGCCTGTGCAGACGGGGGATTTGCGTCCGACTTTCGGGCAGCAGCCGCTGATGAGCCGCCCGACTTCGAAGTGGAGGCGTCCGTTGACGAGGGAAAGCTGTGCACTGAGGCGCGGTGTGTGGGCGATCGATAGGGGTAGTGCGAGTAGTGATTACACGTCCCCGGGTCGCTCAGCTTCTTCCCCGGCGTCTTGAAGTTCCAGGTGAGCTGATTGAGCGAGTTGAGCGTGGGCTGCATCGGTATGACGCTGCCAATGGCATTCGAACTGGAGGGGTAGGCCTGCTTACAGCCCGGACTGTGGTACATCGA